ACATTTTTGCTATATGAACTCCATAGACAATAGATCTGTTTATTGTGCTCACATTATTTTTATCTAATGAATTATTAATGAAGGAACATTTAATGCCTAATCCAGTTGGCATTAAGACTAAAAAGTGTTCGACCTATATTATTACTTTATAGTCAGTCACAACAAATATAACTTTTGTTCATAGTCATTCAGGGTTAAAAGCAGCATACTTTTTTATCAATAAAAAAGTTCAGTTCACAGATAACTGAACATCATATAAAATCACAAATGTGCCTTCACTGCTCTTTTCAAACGGGCTCCTTTACAACTCACTAGTATCTATGGGCTCTGCCCCTTGTAGCACATCATGAGTTTCTGTTCTTGGTTGATCAGTTAGTTTTTATCCTGAGAATGGTGATGGATTTGTGATAATCCATCCACTTCTCTCACTAGATCTTCCCCACTGACACACAAATTTTTATCATGGCAGATAAAGCCTGTGATCAAGAAACTAGGCCCAATTCACAGTCTATTCAAAGAAGAAATCTTATTAAATTAACCTTATTAAATTTAACCTTATAAAATCCCAAACATAATATACAAATGCAGTGAACATTAATTGACAATTACTGTCCAAGGCTAACAAAACATTTTTACTTGTCATATTTTCAAGTCTAAGTTTACATTTTAGTTCACAATAAAATAAAGAAATACATATAAAATTAGAGAGAAAAACACTACAAAGCAAAGGAGCACATCAGAAGCTACCTCCTCCCCTAGGTGCCTTATTCAACCTGTCCTGCCACAGGCTCCCCTAGAGTCACACACCTGCCAGTCCTGCAGCTAAGGGGGACATCACAACTGAGGGTTCATCCCTACCCCGATGATTTTCAGGGCCATGCACAAAGTAGGGGTTCCATAATTATTTGTTGAATGGGTTAATGAAAACATCAGCATGTGGTTTTATTTTTAAAGGTATTAAAATGCTCAAGAGAGTCCTATGACTTCCTGCTTGCTGAGTACCACTCACAATCTTTTCATATATTGAAACTACTTTAAAAGGAAACCCAGTACTTAACACTAAGCAGTAATAGTCATTCCACGGGAGGTATAATAATATCAGCAACATAATCACAGTACATTAATATTTTATATTCGAAAAGCAATGTGCTGTTTATAAGTCACTTTCCCTCTACTATCTCATTTAATCATTATAAGCATTAAACAGAGTATAAACAATTTTACTGCTATTGTTTTGATGGAATCAGGGGAAAAAAGATGAAATCCAGGGCCGGCCCAGTGGCGCACTGGATAGTGTGCCGCTTGGGAAGCGCAGCGGCGCTCCCGCCGAAATCCAGGGCCGGCCCAGTGGCGCACTGGATAGTGTGCCGCTTGGGAAGCGCAGCGGCGCTCCGGCCCGAGGGTTCGGATCCCCCCCCCCCCCCCCCGCTCACTGGCTGGGCGAGGCACGGGAGCGACACCGAGGGTTGCGATCCCGTATTAAAGCCAAAGTTCGTTGAGAATACCAAGTAGTTCCAAAAAAAAAAAAAAAAGATGAAATCCAGGCCAATCAACATATGACTCAAGACAAAGAGAAAATTTTGAACTGAAAGGAATCTAGAAGTTGATCTTGCCCAACCTCCCAGGAAAACCTGGTAGATGTGCTTTTTTCTTTCTTTATAACTTGACTATTTTCTCCTGTCTTACTCAAAAAGCTCTGCACATTGTCATACTAGTTCTACCTGTCAGGGGAGAGAACGAGTTAAGAAGATGGTACTGCTTGTTGAGGCAGCAGCTAAACTTTGTGAACAGAACTGGCAGGTGTGAATATGGCCTTTAAACGCCATTGTGAAAAGGTGGGGTTTGGGGGGAGGTGTGTAGTATCCTAGAAAGATTCACTTATCAACTGGAAAATAGATTTTTATTTTTAAACAGCCAGCCCAGCTAAACAAAATTATATCCTGATAATCTTAAAGAGTAAAGGATACATTCTGCATTCTGCAGAACAAAACACCTAATCCAAACAGATTTTATCTTGTCTCAGTTTAGAAGCTGGTGAGAAAAGTAGAAATGTCCCTTCCATTCATATTCATTACATTCAACAAGTAAATACTGGGCCCTAACTATGTGTCAGGAATAAAGTCAAGCACTACACCAGGCGATACATTCAATTATTTAGGATAGCAAGTTACCACTATTTCCCTGAACTGAAATCAATAAGAACCTTGCCCCCTCACCTTGGCTGTTTCCTCTAATTGAGAACATTTCTTTTAAGTGAAGAAGTCAACAGCAACCTCTAAGATCACACAGCTTCATCTGTTTTAATATCTCAATCCTATTTAAAAGCTGTTAAAAAATAGCACCTTTACCTTTCTTTTCTTTCTCTTTCCACTATCCTGCAAATAATAAAGGTTAAGTGATGACATCTAGCACAAAGAACAATGGACAATACATACACACAAAGCTCTCTCTTCCAGCTTCCAACAGCGACAAAAACAAGAAAGTCAAATATAGATTAAAAGAAAAAAAAAAAGATGACATACAGCATTATTCCTGTCAAGTGCACTTACTCTGGCCCACTCGGCAAAATCTGGAGTCAAATTTGGCATGAAAGGAGCATTTTTTTTTTTCCTGGAAGGTAAGTAAAAGAACTTGGAAATTTACTTATTTTGAAAATAACATCCCAGACATGGTCAAAGAAATTGATTTTTATTTTTCAGAAATAGAGTTTTTAATAAGGACTATCCAAAGATTATGCATAAGCAAACAAATCAATCTGAAAGGCAGGAAGAAAGGAATGACATGTGGTACATCATTTTCTCTGAAAGTTGATAAGCAAAAAGTAAACACAAAAAGATCACCTCAGGAAGGCTGTTTTTTTGTTTGGGGTTGTTTTGATTTTTGATTTTTTTCCAGTTCGGTTTAATGCTTAAGGATTTTCTTAAATCTTTTCACAGGGGTAACAGTACACTCATAAAAACTGAACTGTTTCCTTTAATATTTTTTGTCACCTTCAAAGAGTAGCCAGTGATTTTTATGACACTGTTTCACTGCACTTGTGAATTCTCAAAAGCATAGTCAAAGCTTTGGATCCCCATACTGGCCAGGCACCCAAAAAATAAAATAAAATACAATAAAGATAAAAGAATAGTTAAGGTAACAAAATAATGATTTTTTTTAATAGGAAAACAAAACTAGGGCATGTGGGGGCATGGCAGGTAAAACAAAGGCCGAGTCAAATTTGGCGCCCACTGATTTTTACACAAAGCTCTTAGTAAATTGGCAAAGAAATTAATCTGCTTTTAGGGTAACCTTGAGCCAAACATTCATCCACCCACCCTTAGACTATGTCTATGTAGAGGTTAACCTGAGTAACCAGTTTCCAATATTGTTTTCACTAAATGCTTTGGCGGTTTTGACACCTCAAAGACAGCTTTGTGATGCAATTTGCAAATTAAAAACACACCCAGTAAATAAAGAAAATAATAAAATGATCAGAACCACCTGAATTTTTTTTTTTTTTTTTTTTGGAACTACTTGGTATTCTCAACGAACTTTGGCTTTAATTTGGGCAGACTGCAAGACAGAACCATAGTAATGTATTTTATAAGATTAGCCACAAAATAATCAGTTATTTAACTTAGAAAATAATCTTTTCAACACACTTGGGAACTCTCAAATTACAGGGCACCTTGCATTTTAAAGAATGCTCACAATCAGAGCAGTAGTGGGTGAATAACATCCCTCTATCACAAGACAGGAAGTATACTGCCATCAACAAATGAACAATAAAACAGCATTTGAACTCAGAATTTTTGACTCAGCTCCACTCACAAGGTCATGCATTAACTGTAATCACCACTCTTCCCAACAAGATCATGAAGCTATAAAGCTTTATAAAGCTGTATTTTATTTTATTTTCTTCATGTAAACTAAAATAAGCCTAAATAAACAGCGTAACAAAACCAATCCTTGCCCCGCGTTTCTTTATCATAAAAGCATTCAGTCTTTTTTAGTACAGCCTTACGTGTAATTCCTAGAAGGCACTGACAAATCGCCAGGCCAATCTGCAGCGGAAAACCGAGTGCATGTGTCCAACGTAATGACAGGAGGGTCAATGTTTCTAACAGTCTGCTTCAACTCTGCATGGCAATAGCGGTTCTGCCTAACACGGTAAACATAGTAATTGTATAGGATCGAACACAGCCCACGTAAATGAGGATCCCTTTGACCACAAAACTGGGAGCTCTGGGGAAAGACAATTTCTGTAACAAAACATGGTGCTCGCATAATTCCACAAACAGACACACACAAGTTCATTTTTCGAATAATGTTCAGTCCCAGCACTCTGTTGACACTTTTCCCACCTAAAGTTCTCAGCAAAGCACCCCAATCCGTGCACAGGGTAAGACTTCGGCATGCACCCACGACCAGAACAGTGGGGCAGTGCCCGCCCCTACCCAGTCCGGTTCTGGCCAGGTTGCGATGTAGTTTAGTCCAGTCTACTTTATGGTAATGCGCTTTTAAAGCCCCGCCGCGACCGAGGTCATAGCTTTAGAGATGTAATAACAACCAAATGACCGGGGCTGCCAGGCACTTAGTGAGCCATTCTGGTTATGGCTCTTTAATAACACCTGGAGTTCTGCTAAAGGGAGAACGGAAAACTCTTGCTTCCCCGGAAAGAAAGTCCTCTGCGGGGAGCGCAAAGGCAAGCAAGGAAACCGGTCGCGGACAGGGACGCCCCGCGGCCGCGGCCCCTTCCCTCAGGCAGCCCCAGCGCGACCTCGCCCCGCAGCCCTACTGGACCGGGCCGCACCTTTACCTGTCAGCTCCAGCGCCGGGCCGCCGCGGCTGCTGCCCCTCGGAGTTCCGGGGACAGCTTCAGAGCCGGCTGCAGGAGAAAGAAGCCCCGAGGCATCCCATCCCAAAGAAAGAAAGCAAAAAGGCTGTTCCTCAAGGCGGGGGGCCACCGGGCACGCCGAGACCCGATAAGCGACACGCCACCCCTTCCCCGCACCTACCAGATAATCCATGTACAGAAACGCCTCAGTTATCCGGAGATCAGACATCCGGCAGCCAAAAGCATCAGGAACGGCTCCGAACCCGGAAAAAAAGCAGCGTCTCTGGCTGCGAGCGAGCAGCCCCTGAAAAAGCCAGCAACAGCGAAAAGAGCCGAGGGCAGCCGAGGAGCCGAAGATTACACAAGGGGCGCGGCGATTGGCCGGGCGGGAGGGCTGAAGGAAGGGAGAGCGCTCATTGGCTGCGGCGCCTATAAAAGGCAGACGGCTGCGGGCGGCAGGAGAGAAGCGCGGGAGAGGAAAGGGTTCTTGTGTGTCGGGCGCAGGGGCGGGAGCGAGGGCGTCGCAGGCGGAAGAGCAAACCGGCAGAGCGGCAAATCGACTGGTGCTGCCGCTGCCGGATTCTGTGTGCTTCCACAGCCTCCCAGTTGCTTAAAGTGCATCCGAGCTCCGTGCGCCAGTGCCAGAGAGCATTGGTGTCCCCGCCTACCCGCCAGTAGGAAGCCGGCGCTGTAACGGAGGAGGCGTACTATCCTACGATACTTTTCTCCCCTAGCGCTTTCCTAAAGGCTCTGCGGCCTGGAGTCGGTACCATCCGGACGAGAAGTGTTTGGAAGGGTACTCTGTGAACAGACAAGCCTGTACACGATCTGGGGGCGGAGAGGCCCTCCGCACCTTCATCATGTGAAACTCCTAAGGCGGACAATTCCAGCCTGATGTCCCTTAAAGGTACGCGCAAGCTCCCCGCGCAGCCAGAGATAATTCAGAAGGCCCCACCCGTAGAACGCCAGGCACCCCTCTGAGAGTTTGCTCTCCTGCACGTGAAGGGAAAGTCTGAGGACTCACTGTACTCTGTTGTACTCCCCACACATTCGGGAAGAAGCTGATCAATTCTGAGTCTAGTTACACAACACAAATCAAATGCCGCTGAATAAAGTGAGCAATAGACTAAGAAGGTCTACGAAAAGACCCGATGTCTTTTTTTTTTTGCATGGCAAAGAGTCTTTACTTTTAAATGGTTATCAGTACACCAAGTAATAACAGTTACCCAATGTTATTTTACGAGGTAAAAATGTCTAAGCAGATGCACTGAGAAACTTGTGCGTTTCCTGGCAAATAACTTGGAAATTGGCATTGGTGTTTCAATATTGCGTTGGGGGTCGGGGGGGTCGGGGCGAGGGATGTAGGATCCCGAATCGGATAAAAAGCTGGATAAGATTACTCAGGTCTCTTTTTTACTTTTTTAAAGATCCAGGCTATGAACAACCAGATGATGATAGATACAGATCTTATTAGGCTCAGGTGATTGAAGTGCCCCCCCAGGGCTTAGGGCAGATGGAGGATGAAGGCATTGTTCTCACTTGTATTAGTAATTAGGCCTTTCACATAATAACGTTTCAAGAGTGAAACTTCATCAACTTAAATCTTTCTGTAGTGACTGCCTGACTGTACAAATGTTGTTTTAGGAGATGGATTTTTATCTTCCCCCTAACTTGACACCTTTTTTATATCCCTAAGTAACACATTTTTTGTACAGTAAGTTTACATGGGGCTGCAAAACGGCTGTTAGATAACCTTGAAATTCACCTTAAATATGCACATAGCCAGGAAGGGCATGAAGTCCCTTAGAGGGAGCTCCAGGCTGGCGAGGCATGTGATTGGGGTGTGCTATCTAATCTCAATGAACCTACTTCCTCAGCTGCAAAATGAGAATTCCTACCTCCAGAGGGTTTTTGAAGTGACTAAAGGACTATGAATATACCTTTGAGGAAGGCAGAAGGGGTTTTTGTTTTGTTTTCCTTTCCTTCTGTCCGTGAATAAGCATATTGCAAATAAGATTAAAGGGCTTGAGTTATCAGAGACACCTTTTGGTTCACTGCCTTACTGATAAATGATGTCTTGACTACTGGCAAGCAGAGTCTTGAAAGGCCTGTCAGTTTCCATGTAGGGGAAGTTGGCTCTCCTCTCACTCAGGAGCAGTTGGCTTCTGCCTTTCCTTTAAAAGTGACGCTTAGGGAAAGAGAGTGAACAGAAATATGGTTCATGCCGCCTCTAGGAATTAGTAAATGGGCCCAAAGCAGGGAAACGGAAGAATTTGTTCAAAGAAAAGTTCTAAAGGCTGCAAGCACCATAGTACACCCCTCATTCCACACTGTTTGCTTATTCATTATGACTGGCATCAAGGAAAACCTGGTATTCAGTGTAATATATTTTTAAAATTACATATTGCATTTTGGAAAAGAGTCCTTGTGAAAAACCTGCAGCTTCAGAACTCCATATCGAACACGTTTTTCCAATTAGGTGTTCATCTGCTGAGATATTAATGTGTCCACACTTGTGCAGAGGAAAGAAGCTAACTTGGTACTGTTGATAGGAACAGATAATACACTACCCACTACGTGAAGCTGCGGTCAAAGCTTACTAGGGTTAGTAGCAAGAGTAGTAATCACCTCAACATGTGCTTTAAAAAAGAGCATAGAGGGGTTAGAATGCATTTATTCAACCTACCCTACTATACAACAGGTGACAGGTAGCAGTCTTGAATAAGACATGATCTCTTTAATATAGTCCTGCCCTTGCTGTTTAGTCATCTACTGATGGACAGTTAGGTTGGTTCCATAACTTGGGTAGTGTAAATAGAGCTGTGATGAACATGGGAGTGTAGGTATCCCTTCCACGTGTAATTTCCATTCCTTTGGGTATATACCCAGTAGTGAGATAACCAGATTGTATGACAGTTCTATCTGTAGTTGTTTGAGGAAACTCCATACTGTTTTCCATAATAGCCGTACTAATTTACAGTCCCACCCACAGTGTAAGAGGATTCTCCTTTCTCCATATCCTCACCAGCATTTGTTATTTTCTATCTTTTTGATAATAGCCAGTCTAACTGGGATGAGATATCTCAAAGTGGGTTTGATTTGCATTTCCCTAATGCTGAGTGATGATGAACATTTCTTCATGTGTCTTGGCCATTTGTACAAACTTCCTTTGAGAAATACCTATTCAGCTCCTTTTCCCAGTTTTTAATCAGGTTACTTGTTTTTTCACTGTTAACTTGTTTGAGTTCCTTGTATATTCTATATATCCCTTCTCAAATGCATAGTTTGCAAATATTTTCTCCCATTCAGATTGTCTTTTCACTATGCTAATTGTTTCTTTTTGTGTGCGGAAGATCTTTAATTTGATATAGTCCCATTTGTTTATTCCTTTGTTGCCTTTGCTTTTGGGGTCATATTCATAAAGTCTTTGCCCCATCCTACTTCCTGAAGTGTTTCCCCTATGTTTTCTTTAAGGAGTTTCATAGTTCAGGTTTATATTTAAGTCTTTAATCCATTTTGAGTTGATTTAGGTATGTGGTGACAGCTATGTGTCTAGTTTCATTCTTGTACATATGGATGTCCAGTTTTCCCAGCACCATGTATTGATGAGGCAGTCTTTTCCCCAATGTATGGTCTTGGTGCCTTTGTCAAAGTTCAGCTGGATGTAAGTATATGGGTTGATTTCTGGGTTCTCTTCTGTTCCATTGGTCCGAGTGTCTGTTTTTATGCTAGTTCCATGCTGTTTTGGTTACTATAACTTTGTAGTATAATTTGAAGTCAGGTAGTGTTATGCCTCTGGCTTTTTTTTTTTTTTTTTTTTTTCCCTCAGGATTGGTTTGGCTGTTTGGGTCTTTTGTTGTTCTCTATGAATGTTAGGATTGTTTTTCTATTTTGTCAAGAATGTCATTGGTATTTTGATGGGTATTGCATTGAATCTGTACATCACTTTGGGTAGCATGGACATTTTCACAAAGTTAATTCTTCCAACCCAAGAGAATGGAATGTTTTTCCATCTTTTTTGTCCACTTTAATTTCTTTCAAGAGTGACTTGTTCATATTGTAGAGAACTTTCACCTCCTTGGTAAAATTTATTCCTAGGTTTTTTGCGTGTGTGTGTTTGTGTGTGTGACTACTGTAAATGGACTTACTTTCTTGCTTCTTCTGCGAGTTCATTGTTGGGGTCTAAAAATGCTACTGATTTTTGCATGTTTATGTTGTATCCTGCAACTTTACTGAAATTTATCAGCTGTAAGAGGTTTTGGTTGAGTCTTAGAGTTTTTCTATATATAGGATCATGTCCTCTGCAAACAGAAACAATTTGGCTTTCTCTTTTCCAATCTGGATGCCTTTTACTTCTTTCTCTCAACTGATAGCTCTGGCTAGTACTTCCAATACTGTGTTAAACAGGAGTGGTAAGAGTGGATATCCTTGTCTTGTTCCTATTCTTAAGGGAAAGGCTTTTAACTTTTCTCCATTCAGGATGATATTGGAGGTGGGTTTGTCATATATGGCTTTTCTTGTGTTGAGATATTTTCCTTCTATACCTAATATGCTGAGAGTTGTTATCATGAAGAGATGATGAATTTTTTCAAATAATTTTTCTGCATCTATTGAGATAATCATATGGTTTTGGTCTTTGATTTTCTTGATGTGGTATATCACATTTATTGACTTTCATATGTTGAACCATCTCTGGGAGGAATCTCACTTGATTATGGTGTGTAATTTTTTTTATGTGTTGCTGTATTCTGTTTGCTAATATTTTGTTGAGGATTTTTGTTCATCAGAAATAGTGGCCTGTAGTTTTCTTTCTTTGTTGTATCTTTGTCTGGTTTGGGTATCAGGGTGATACTGACCTCAAAGAATGAGTTTGGGAGAATGGCCTCTTTCAATATTTTAGAATAGTTTGAAGAGAATTGTTATTAATTCCTCTTTAAAGGTTTGGTAGAATTCAGCAGTAAAACCATTGGGTCTTGGGTTTTCTTTGTTGGGAGACTGCTGGTTACTGCTTCAATCTTGTTGCTTGTTATTGGTCTGTTCAGGTTTTCTATTTCTTCTTGGTTCAGTCTTGGTAGTTTGTATGTGTCCAAAAACTTATCCATTTCCTCCAGGTTTTCAAATTCATTGCTGTATAGTTGTTTGTAATAGTCTGTAATGATTCTTTGTATTTCTTTGGTATTAATTATAATGTCTTGTTTTTCATTTCTGATCTTCAATATTTGGGTCCTCTCTTATCTTTTTCTAGTTAGCCTAGTTAATGGTTTGCCTATTT